TCCTCCTCCAGCGTAAAAATAAATATTCAGATTCTGACTTCATGGGTCACTGTCGGGGCTGCAGGGGAGGGGCGGGAAGGAGTGGGGGGGCGAGGGGAGGGGCGGGAGGGAGTGGGAGGGGCGAGGCGAGGGGAGGGGCGAGGGGAGGGGCGAGGGGAGGAGTGGGAGGGGCGAGGGGAGGGGCGAGGGGAGGGGCGAGGGGAGGGGCCAGCGTGGGCGATGTTCGGATTGGTGGAATGTCCACGTTGCATAACGAGGCGTGATACACAATCGAGGTTTGTTTGGGGTTAGATCGTGTAAATATACAAATGTGTCGTTAAACCCGCCACCACCCGACACAGCCAATTATAGTAAGGTCTGTCACGTGAACAGAACGTGCCAATTGGTTACTAGTACAGCACTAGTGTATAGTGTAGTGTGTCGTAGTGTATAATGTAGTGTATAATGTAGTGTATAGTAGTGTAGTGTATAGTGTAGTGTATAGTAGTGTAGTGTATATTAGTATATAGTGTAGTGTATAGTAGTGTATAATAGTGTATAGTAGTGTAGTGTATAGTGTAGTGTATAGTAGTGTAGTGTATAGTAGTGTAGTGTATAGTGTAGTGCAGGGGTCGGCAACCTACGGCTCCGGAGCCGCATGCGGCTCTTTACGGGCTGCTTCTTGACGATGAGTACGTATGTACTCAAATGCATTGCGGCTCTTGAAATACTGAATTTTGTACCGAATTGGAAAGAAATGTCTCTTCTTGTTATTTTGGTTGCCGACCCCTGGTGTAGTGTATAGTGCAGTGTATAGTAGTGCATTGTACAGTAGTATATAATGTAGTGTATAGTAGTGTATAATAGTGTATAGTAGTATAGTGTATAGTAGTGTAGTGTATAGTAGTGTAGTGTATAGTGCAGTGTATAGTAGTGTAGTGTATAGTGCAGTGTATAGTGTAGTGTATAGTAGTGTAGTGTATAGTCGTGTAGTGTATAGTAGTGTATAGTAGTGTAGTGTTTAGTGTAGTGTATAGTCGTGTAGTGTATAGTAGTGTAGTATATAGTGTAGTGTATAGTGCATTGTATAGTAGTGTAGTGTATAGTAGTATATAGTGTAGTGTATAGTAGTGTATAATAGTGTATAGTAGTGTAGTGTATAGTAGTGTAAAGTATATTGTAGTGTATAGTGCAGTGTATAGTAGTATAGTGTAGTGTATAGTGTAGTGTATATTGTAGTGTATAGTGCAGTGTATAGTGTGTAGTGTATAGTATATAGTGCAGTGTATAGTGCAGTGTATAGCGTAGTGTATAGTAGTGTAGTGTATAGTGGTGTAGTGTATAGTGTAGTGTATAGTAGTGTAGAGGAGTAGTGGAGAGTGGTGGCGTCGTGTGCGCTGTCCGGTGCGGTGACCTCACGGGACGTGGGGTCGCACGCGCTGGGCAGTGCACGTGACATCACCCCTCCGAGGGTATATAAGGGAGACCCCGTAACGTAAGCGGGGTCACTATAGGAACGGGGGAAGTAAACAGGGTGAAGAGGGAACCAGGGATAGTGAGAGGGATCAAATAGGGAGTCTGGGGAGAAGCCGGTGGTAGCCGAAGAGGTGCTTCTCTCTCCGGTCGGTGGAGTCGGCAGACTCCACGATCCGACACGAGAGAGAGAGACCGGAGCTAGCCGGCAGGGACCCCGACTCAGAGTAGGACCCCTAGCCCCTGGGAGTTGTGCACCCTGTGTAGTATTGACCAAGAGTAATAAACCCTGGCGGAAGCCCCTAACCATACCTCCGTCTCCGAGTACGTCCGTCGGAACTTCTCTACAACTGGTGTCAGAAGTGTCTGCACTGCTGCTACAATGTTTACATCGGGAGCGGAGCGCAAGAACCCAGCGACGGGACGATCGGAGGATGAAGACGGCGGGGAGGAGGCTTCGGCAGTGACCCCGGAGTCCGGGGCTCCGGTGACAGGCCCCGAGAAGACGACGGGCGGGGGTGCCAGCTCGCCGCCACCACCGCTGGAGACGGGGAGCACCCCTGCAGACCTGCTGAGGCAGCTCCTGCAGGCGATCGCGCAGCTCTGCGCCCGTCTCGACATCGCGGAGGCGAAGTTGGGTCCTCCCGGTCCGCACTCGGGATGGGAGCAACTGTCAACTGCCGGGACGCCGCGAGAGGCGGCCGCCATCTTCGCCGCGACGCCCCAGCTGGCTATTTTGCCTGCGACGTCGCCAGCGGCGGCCATGTTGGTTGGGGCGCCTCAGGCGGCCGCCATTTTAACTGCGACGCTGCAGGTGGCGGCCATTGTTCATGCGACGCCGCACGTCGGCGCCATGGCTGCCATGGCAACTGCGACGCCGTTGTCCACCGTGGGTGCCGCCGCGACTTCGTGCCACACCGCGCGCGCGGGGTCTGCCAGCGGCGATGCCACAGCTCCGCACCATGCTGCGCCCGCCGGGGGAGCCCCAGGTACGTCCGGGGCTCCACACCTCGCCGCACCACGGGAGTTGCCGAGGGTGCCGCCGTGGTTCCGGCCATCGCCGCGCTGGCGGGGTACGCTGCGGGTGTCGCCGTGGCCCCGTGCATCGCTGCCGCGGCTCCTCACGATGCCGCGCCGCGGAAGTTGCCGCGGTTCCGAGCATCGCCGTGCCTGCGGGGTTTGGCGCGCCCGCCACCGCGGCTGCTATAGTTGCCGCGGCCGCGGGGTGGGCCGAGGGTCACGCCGGGGCACCGCACCTCGCTGTGCATGCGGGTTTTGCCGCCGGCGACGCCGCACCAGGCTGCTATTTTGCCTGCAGCGATCGCGGTGGGGGCCGCCGGCGACGACGCGGCCCCGCACCTCGCGGTGCCTGGGCGTTGCCATGCCGACGCCGCGGCTCTGCATCTTGCCGCGGCATGGGCAGCAGGAGCCGCCGCTCGGGCCGGCGCGCGCCTGGCAGGAGCTGCGTTGGGCTGCTGGGCTGCTGCGGCTCTCCCGGGGCCTATCACTAGCTGGCACGGTGCCTGCCCTGGCGATTCGTGCCACATGGGGAGGCGTGCGCTCTGTTGATGGCCTGTGGAAACGCTGCCGTCGGCCTCCAGCCCTCATCGCTCAATTGTGTTATGTTGGCGTGTTTTGTCTAAGACTGCCCAATTGTCCGTTTTGGTGTGTTTTGTCTGGGCTGCTCAATTGTTCAATTGTTGTTTGTTGGTGTGTGTTGTCTGGGCCATCGGGATTCCGCCTTTGTATTGATGGCAGCGCGTGATGAGAGTTTCAAAGTTTTGAAATTTGATTGATTGTTGTCATGCTGCCTGGATGTTGTCGGTTGGTTGTGAATATGTTGGTTTGTGGTTCTGGGACTCCTCTACTTTTATATTGTTTACAGCCGAGTCGGCTGAATTTTTTTCACAGGGGGGGGTGATGTAGAGGAGTAGTGGAGAGTGGTGGCGTCGTGTGCGCTGTCCGGTGCGGTGACCTCACGGGACGTGGGGTCGCACGCGCTGGGCAGTGCACGTGACATCACCCCTCCGAGGGTATATAAGGGAGACCCCGTAACGTAAGCGGGGTCACTATAGGAACGGGGGAAGTAAACAGGGTGAAGAGGGAACCAGGGATAGTGAGAGGGATCAAATAGGGAGTCTGGGGAGAAGCCGGTGGTAGCCGAAGAGGTGCTTCTCTCTCCGGTCGGTGGAGTCGGCAGACTCCACGATCCGACACGAGAGAGAGAGACCGGAGCTAGCCGGCAGGGACCCAGACTCAGAGTAGGACCCCTAGCCCCTGGGAGTTGTGCACCCTGTGTAGTATTGACCAAGAGTAATAAACCCTGGCGGAAGCCCCTAACCATACCTCCGTCTCCGAGTACGTCCGTCGGAACTTCTCTACAGTAGTATAGTGTAGTGTATAGTGTAGTGTATAGTGCAGTGTATTGTCCAGCACACCGTTGTGCTGGAGAACGATTCCACAACATTTACAATCCGGGGCACGGCATTCCGTCATCAATTACAACCAGCTTCATCAGGCAGGCAGCTTGCGACGTGATGGGTTTACTCTCCAACACAGCGGCGCGGAGGAGAAGTCTCCTCCCGTGTCCTTCCTTCAATCGAGGCGTTGAGATGTGAGGACGTCTTTCGTGAGCACTTCGTGCATGTTCGTGATGCACGCGCAGCCATAAATGCATCTTTCGATTTAAAGCTTTCGTGACTGCAGGGATTCATCTTCTTTGTTCTTTCGGTAAAGTCACGTAGAAGGGAAACAATAAAATAATAAAAATAAAACATAATAAAATTTTGATTTAAAGCTTTCGTGACTGCAGGGATTCATCTTCTTGGTTCTTTCGGTAAAGTCACGTAGAAGGAAAATAATAAAATAATAAAAATTACACATCAAATAATTCTCACGACGTTTCGGCCACAACGCAAGCAGCCGTCTTCAGGTGGAGAACAGGTCTGTCGAGAAGAACGTCGCAGGCTGTCTGCCTTCTCGACAGACCTGTTCTCCACCTGAAGACGGCTGCTTGCGTTGTGGCCGAAACGTCGTGAGAATTATTTTAAGTTTTATTTTTATTATTTTATTATTTTCCTTCTACGTGACTTTACCGAAAGAACCAACAAGATCAAATGCATCGTTTGGCGATTCGCTTCCAAAGCAGGGCTAAGTCTGTGGCTATCCGAACGTTTAAAATTCGTTTTTATCTCTCTCAATTTCGCTGCTGCTGCTGCTGCTGATATGGCTGCCGCACCACGTGGTGAACAGGCTCGACCCCGTTGGTGAACAAGATAAACGGGGGGGGGGGGGGGAGACAAAGGCGATCGGGAGCACGTGGCCAATTTGGGTCCGTCCATAAATGACGTCACGCGATTTTGGACGATTTTGGACGATTTTTGACCCCCCCCTCACCCCTCGTCACACGGCGTCACAAAAAGTCAGACCCCCCCGCCTCAAATATGACGTCACAAAGCTCTGCCCCCCCCAAAAAATAAAACATGCTTGAAATCGCTTTAAACTATTGTCATTGTAGTGCGTATTTAATGTGGCGCTGCACTCTGATGTTGTAGGAGAAAACATTTATTAAAAATGAGGCGTTGGAAAGCTGAAATTCGGCATAAAATTCATTTTTAAATATTCAACTAAAACTGCAGATGTTCAAAATATGATATTGAAATTATCTTATAATTATAAAATATTAAAAGTAATTATAACTATTAAAAAAATACGTGGAACTTTGTAGTAGAACGTGGCAAAAAGTAGAGTACAATTATAACAATCACAAGTTCATTCCACAGAATGAAAAGACCTGGTAGAATCATTAAAATCAAAATGTTTAATAACAATCATTTAAAAAAATGATCAAAATGTATGCTTCTCCATTCTCCCTTGGAGAAGCATAAATTCTCCTTCATGGAAGAAATAAAAGGTGACCTTAGTAAATTAAAATAAATCAAATAGTTAATAATGAAAATTAATAAAAATTAGTGTTGATATAACAATTCGATATTTCTCTGCTTGGTTCTTTTGGTAAAGTCACGTAGAAGGGAAATAATAAAATAATAAAAATAAAACATTATAAAATAATTCTCACTGAAATAAAACATAATAAAATAATTCTCAGTGAGAATTATTTTATTATCTTTTATTTCAGTGAGAATTATTTTATTATGTTTTATTTTTATTATTACCGAAAGAACCAAGAAGATGAATCCCTGCAGTCACGAAAGCTTTAAATCGAAATTCGATATTTATTTAAAGTTGCGCATTTTGATATGACGTCACATTTCTCAAACACCTCCCCCCCCCATCGTCACCCCCCCCCCCCCCTAGGTGCGTGACGTCATTTATAAGACGGCCCCTTGCCACACCCGACCTTCACCACTTGAAGGACGTCACTGTGTGTGTCACTGTGTGTCACTGTGTGTGTGTGTGTCACTGTGTGTGTGTCACTGTGTGTGTGTGTCACTGTGTCACTGTGTCTGTTACTGTGTGTGTCACTGTGTCTGTTACTGTGTGTGTCAGTGTGTGTGTCAGTGTGTGTGTTACTGTGTGTGTTACTATGTGTGTGTTACTGTGTGTGTGTCACTGTGTGTGTGTCACTGTGTGTCACTGTGTGTGTGTCACTGTGTGTGTGTCACTGTGTGTAGTCACTGTGTGTAGTCACTGTGTGTCACTGTGTGTGTGTGTGTCACTGTGTGTGTCACTGTGTGTCACTGTGTGTGTGTCACTGTGTGTCACTGTGTGTGTGTCACTGTGTGTGTGTGTCACTGTGTGTGTGTGTCACTGTGTGTGTCACTGTGAGTGTCACTGAATGATGAGGGTGTCACTGAGTGTGTGGTGTCACTGTGTGTGTATCACTGTGTGTGTGTCACTGTGTGTGTCACTGTGTGTGTCACTGTGAGTGTCACTGAATGATGAGGGTGTCACTGAGTGTGTGGTGTCACTGTGTGTGTATCACTGTGTGTGTGTCACTGTGTGTGTCACTGTGTGTGTCACTGTGTGTGTCACTGTGTCACTGTGTGTGTGTCACTGTGTGTGTGTCACACTGTGTGCGTGTCACTGTGTGTGTGTCACTGTGTGTGTGTGTCACTGTGTGTGTCACTGTGTGTCACTGTGTGTGTGTCACTGTGTGTGTCACTGCGTGTGTGTCACTGTGTGTGTCACTGTGTGTGTGTCACTGTGTGTGTGTCACTGTGTGTGTCACACTGTGTGTGTGTCACTGTGTGGGTGTCGCTGTGTGTGTGTCACTGTGTGTGTCACTGTGTGTGTCACTGCGTGTGTGTCACTGTGTGTGTGTGTGTCACTGCGTGTCACTGCGTGTCACTGAATGATGAGAGTGTCGCTCTCGGCGAGGCCGTACGCCGCCTTGTGCGAGTTGAACACGCGCTGCAGGCCGCTCACGTAGAGCGCGTGGTAGCGGTCCACGTCCTCGGCCGTGGGCTCCGGGATGTGGGGGACCGTGATGGGCTCCCCCACTGGGGGGCAGGGGGGCAACGGGGGGGGGGGGGCAGAGGGGGCAGGGGGGGTGGCGGTGATGGGGGGGGGAGAAGGAACATCGGTGTAAGAGGGTTTGTGAGCGGGAGTTTCAGTGGGTGGGTGAGTGGATGAATGGGTGGGTACGTGGGTGAGTGAGTGAGTGGGTGGGTACGTGGGTGAGTGAGTGGGTGAGTGAGTGGGTGGGTATGTGGGTGAGTGAGTGGGTGACTGGGTGGGTGAGTGAGTTGGTGAGTGGATGGGTGAGCGGGTGACTGGGTGGGTGAGTGAGTTGGTGAGTGGATGGGTGAGTGGATAAATGGGTGGGTACGTGGGTGAGTGAGTGGGTGGGCACGTGGGTGAGTGAGTGGGTGAGTGAGTGGGTGGGTATGTGGGTGAGTGAGTGGGTGACTGGGTGGGTGAGTGAGTTGCTGAGTGGATGGTTGAGCGGGTGACTGGGTGGGTGAGTGAGTTGGTGACTGGGTGGGTGAGTGAGTTGGTGAGTGGATGGGTGAGTGGATGAATGGGTGGGTACGTGGGTGAGTGAGTGGGTGAGTGAGTGGGTGGGTACGTGGGTGAGTGAGTGGGTGAGTGAGTGGGTGACTGGGTGGGTGAGTGAGTTGGTGAGTGGATGGGTGAGCGGGTGACTGGGTGGGTGAGTGAGTTAGTGAGTGGATGGGTGAGTGGGTGACTTGGTGGGTGAGTGAGTTGGTGAGTGGATGGGTGAGTGGGTGGGTGAGTGGGTGAGTAGGTGGGTGGGAGAATAGGTGGGTGGGTGAGTGCGTGGGTGAATTGGTGGGTAGGTAGGTGTATATGTGGGTGATTCGGTGGGTGGGTAAGTAGGTGAGTGGGTGGGTGAGTGAATGGATGGGTGGGTGGATGTGTGCGTGGATGTGCGGTTAAGTGGGCAGGTGAGTGTGCGGGTGGGCAAGTTAGTGGGTGGGTGGGTGGCTGGGTGAGTTGGTGGGTGAGTGGGTAAGTGGGTGAGTGGGTGAGTGAGTAGGCAAGTGAGTGAGTGGGTGGGTTGGTGGGCGAGTAGGCGAGTTAGTGGGCAAGTGAGTGGGTGAGTGGGTGGCTGGGTGGCTGGGTGTGTGGGCGAGTGGGCGAGTGAGTGGGCAAGTGAGTGGGTGGCTGGGTGAGTGGGTGGCTGGGTGAGTGGGTGTGTGGGCGAGTGGGTGGGTGTGTGGGCGAGTGGGTGGGTGTGTGGGCGAGTGGGAAAATGAATGGGTGAGTAGGTGAGTGAGTGGGTGGGTGGGTGGCTGGGTAAGTTGGTGGGTGGGCGAATGGGTGGGTGTGTGGGTAGATGTGTGGGCGAGTGAATGGGTGAGCGAGTGAGTGGGTGTGTGGGCGAGTGGGTGAGCGTGTGGGTGGGTGGGCGTGTGGGTGGGTGGGTGAGTGGGTGTGTGGGCGGGTGAGTGAGCAGGCTGAGCGAGCCACTCACCCACGGTGAGGATGGGCGTGGGGAGGGGCAGGACGCCCCACGAGTCGGGGCTGAGGAGCGCCCTGCCGTGGAAGATGCAGGGCGCGAACCCCATGGCCTTCTGGAAGGCCACCTGGACACGGCGCTTCCAAGTGCCCTCGGCGAACACCAGCTGCTTGAAGGTGGCACCCTCGCCGAACGAGTACACGGGGACCAGGTCAGCCCTGACGGGGGGCAGGGGGGGCAGGGGGAGTGGGGGGGGAGTGGGGGGGGGTGAGTGGAGGGGGGTCCCCCGGTTTGTGAACAGAGTTTGTGACGGAAGTATTCGTCAACGAAGAGGGGTTGTTGTTGTTGTTGTGTCTCCCCGTGTCTCTGTGTCACTGTGTGTCTCTGCGTGTGTCTCTGTGCGTCTCTGCGTGTGTCTCTGCGTGTGTCTCTGTGTGTGTCTCTGCGTGTGTCTCCCCGTGTCTCTGTGTCACTGTGTGTCTCTGCGTGTGTCTCTGTGCGTCTCTGCGTGTGTCTCTGCGTGTGTCTCTGCGTGTGTCTCTGTGCGTGTCTCTGCGTGTGTCTCTGCGTGTGTCTCTGTGTGTGTCTCTGTGTGTGTCTCTGTGTGTGTCTCTGCGTGTGTCTCTGTGCGTGTCTCTGCGTGTGTCTCTGCGTGTGTCTCTGCGCGTGTCTCTGCGTGTCTCCCCGACTTCTGCCTTTCCCTCCCCATCGCCCCCCCCCCACCACGTGCCCCCCCGCCCACGTACCCCCCTCTCCCACCACGTACCCCCCCCCCCCACGTACCTACCCCCCGCACGTACCCCCCCACGTACCCCCCCCCCACGTACCCCTGCTGCAGAGCGATCCGCACGAAGCCCTTGCGCCCCTTGAGCACCACGCGGCAGTCCCCGTGGTCCCCGCTCTGCAGAGACTCGGCGGCGCCCCCCACCACGATCACCACCGCCTTGCCCGGGGGGCCGCCGCGAGACAGCAGGTGGTCGATCGCGCCACGACTCACCGGGCACAGGCCTGGGGGGCACGGGGGGGGCACGGGGGGGGGGGAAGGGGGGGCACGGGGGGGCACGGGGTGGGGGCACGGGGGGAGACAGGGGGGGGGCACGGGGGAGGGCACGGGGGGGCACGGGGAGGGCAAGGGGGGGCACGGGGTGGGGGCACGGGGGGGACACGGTGGGGGGGGACACGGGGGGGGCAAGGGGGGGCAAGAGGGGGGGCACGGGGGAGACACGGGGGGGCACGGGGGGGGGACACGGGGGGGGGGGACACGGGGGGGGAAGGACACGGGGGGGGGGGCACGAGGGGGGGACACGGGGGAGACACGGGGGGCACGGGGGGGGGACACGGGGGGGGGGACACGGGGGGGGACACGGGGAAGACAAATGAGTACCTGGTGCGCTGTGTAAACATCACGACCGGGGAGACAAAGGCGGCCGGGCGTGGCGTTGACAACCCACGCACTCGTGTGCCACAGTGCCGGCCTTCACAGGTGCTACTCGCCAACAGCGCTTGCCCCAACAGTGTGTCAGAGGCGACACGGGGGATCTTTGTGTATGTGTGAGATGTGTGTGTGTGAGAGATCTTTGTGTGTGTGTAAGATCTTTGTGTGTATGTCAGATGTGTGTGTGTGAGATCTTTGGGTGTGTGTGTGAGATCTTTGTGTGTGTGTGAGTGATCTTTGTGTGTGTGTGAGATGTGTGTGTGTGATGTGTGTGTGTGAGATCTTTGTGTGTGTGTGTGAGATATTTGTGTGTGTGTGAGTGATCTTTGTGTGTGTGTGAGATGTGTGTGTGTGTGAGAGATGTGTGTGTGTGAGATCTTTGTGTGTGTGCGTGTGAGGTCTTTGTGTGTGTGTGTAAGATCTTTGTGTGTATGTGAGATGTGTGTGTGTGAGATCTTTGGGTGTGTGTGAGATCTTTGTGTGTGTGTGAGTGATCTTTGTGTGTGTGTGAGATGTGTGTGTGTGAGATGTGTGTGTGTGTGATCTTTGTGTGTGTGTGTGTGAGATCTTTGTGTGTGTGTGATCTTTGTGTGTGTGTGATGTGTGTGTGTGTGATGTGTGTGTGTGTGAGTGTGTGTGATCTTTGTGTGTGTGTGTGATGTGTGTGTGTGAGATGTGTGTGTGATCTTTGTGTGTGTGATCTTTGTGTGTGTGTGTGAGATCTTTGTGTGTGTGTGAGATCTTTGTGTGTGTGAGATGTGTGTGTGTGTGATCTGTGTGTGTGTGTGTGATGTGCGTGTGTGTGTGTGAGATGTGTGTGTGTGTTAGATGTGTGTGTGTGTGATCTGTGTGTGTGTATGTGATGTGCGTGCGTGTGTGATCTGTGTGTGTGTGAGATATGTGTGTGTGTGATCTGTGTGTGTGAGTGATCTCTGTGTGTGAGATGTGTGTGTGTGATCTGTGTGTGTGTGTGAGATGTGTGTGTGTGAGTGATCTCTGTGTGTGAGATGTGTGTGTGTGATCTGTGTGTGTGTGTGATGTGCGTGCGTGTGTGTGTGTGATCTGTGTGTGTGTGATCTGTGTGTGTGTGTGATCTGTGTGTGTGATGTGCGTGTGTGTGAGATCTGTGTGTGTGTGATCTGTGTTTGTGTGTGATCTGTGTGTGTGTGTGTGTGTGATGTGCGTGTGTGTGAGATCTGTGTGTGTGTGTGATCTGTGTGTGTGTGTGATGTGTGTGTGTGATCTGTGTGTGTGTGAGATGTGTGTGTGAGCTGTGTGTGTGTGAGATGTGACGGTGTGGGCTGGGTGAGATGTGTGTGTGTGTGATGTGTGTGTGATCTGTGTGTGTGTGTGATGTGCGTGTGTGTGAGATCTGTGTGTGTGTGTGATCTGTGTGTGTGATCTGTGTGTGTGATCTGCGTGTGTGTGTGTGAGATGTGTGTATGTGTGTGTGATGTGTGTGTGATCTGTGTGTGTGTGATCTGTGTGTGTGTGTGATGTGTGTGTGATCTGTGTGTGTGTGATCTGTGTGTGTGTGATCTGTGTGTGTGTGTGATCTGTGTGTGTGTGAGATGTGTGTATGTGTGTGTGATGTGTGTGTGTGATATGTGTGTGTGTGATCTGTGTGTGTGTGTGTGATGTGTGTGTGATCTGTGTGTGTGTGATCTGTGTGTGTGTGATCTGTGTGTGTGTGATCTGTGTGTGTGTGATCTGTGTGTGTGAGATCTGTGTGTGTGTGAGATCTGTGTGTGTGTGTGATCTGTGTGTGTGTGTGTGTGATGTGCGTGTGTGTGATCTGTGTGTGTGTGAGATGTGTTTGTGTGTGTGTGATGTGTGTGTGTGAGATCTGTGTGTGTGTGAGATCTGTGTGTGTGTGTGATCTGTGTGTGTGTGTGTGTGATGTGCGTGTGTGTGATCTGTGTGTGTGTGAGATGTGTTTGTGTGTGTGTGATGTGTGTGTGTGAGATGTGACGGTGTGGGCTGGGTGAGATGTGTGTGATGTGTGTGTAATCTGTGTGTGTGTGTGATGTGCGTGTGTGTGAGATCTGTGTGTGTGTGATCTGTGTGTGTGATCTGTGTGTGTGATGTGCGTGTGTGTGTGTGTGAGATGTGTGTATGTGTGTGTGGTGAGATGTGTGTATGTGTGTGTGATGTGTGTGTGATCTGTGTGTGTGTGATCTGTGTGTGTGTGTGATGTGTGTGTGATCTGTGTGTGTGTGATCTGTGTGTGTGTGATCTGTGTGTGTGTGATCTGTGTGTGTGTGTGATCTGTGTGTGTGTGATCTGTGTGTGTGAGATCTGTGTGTGTGTGAAATCTGTGTGTGTGTGTGATCTGTGTGTGTGTGTGATGTGCGTGTGTGTGAGATCTGTGTGTGTGTGATCTGTGTGTGTGTGTGTGATGTGTGTGTGTGTGATCTGTGTGTGTGTGTGTGATGTGTGTGTGTTATGTGTGTGGGCTCGGTGCGGTGGTGGAGAACGAACGCGAGGGGGCGCGCCTCGCCCACGCGGCGCTCGGAGTCGGGGTGGTGACGGTGGGTCGGCCGTGATGATATGCTGCCGACGATGCTGGTGGTGGCGATACTGCTGTGCAACTCTATGTATCTCTGTGTGTGTCTATGGATCTCTGTGTAACTCTACGGATCTCTGTGTAACTCTATGGATCTCTGTGTGTAACTTTATACATCTCTGTGGGTTTCTATGGATCTCTGTGTAACTCTTTGGATCTCTGTGTAACTCTATGGATCTCTGTGGGTGTCTATGGATCTCTATGTAACTCTATGGATCTCTGTGGGTGTCTATGGATCTCTGTGCAACTCTATGGATCTCTGTGTAACTCTATGGGTCTCTGTGTAACTCTATGGTTCTCTGTGTGACTCTATGGAACTCTATGCAACTCTATGAATCTCGGTGTAACTCTATGGATCTCTGTGTGTCTCTATGGATCTCTGTGCGACTCTATGGATCTCTGTGTAACTCTATGGATCTCTGTGTGACTCTATGGATCTCTGTGTAACTCTATGGATCTCTGTGTAACTCTATGGATCTCTGTGTAACTCTATGGATCTCTGTGCGACTCTATGGATCTCTGTGTAACTCTATGGATCTCTGTGCGACTCTATGGATCTATGTGTAACTCTATGGATCTCTGTGTGACTCTATGGATCTCTGTGTAACTCTATGGATCTCTCTCTAACTCTATGGATATCTGTGTAACTCTATGGATCTCTGTGCGACTCTATGGATCTATGTGTAACTCTATGGATCTCTGTGCGACTCGATGGATCTATGTGTAACTCTACGGATCTCTGTGCAACTTTATGGATCTCTTTGTAACTCTATGGATCTCTGTGTGACTCTATGGATCTCTGTGTGACTCTGTGGATATCTGTGTGACTCCATGGATCTCTGTGTGACTCTATGGATCTCTGTGTAACTCTATGGATCTCTGTGTGACTCTATGGGTCTCTGTGTAACTCCATGGATCTCTGTGTAACTCTATGGATCTCTATGCAACTCTGTGGATCTCTGTGTAACTCTGTGGATCTCTGTGTAACTCTATGCAACTCTATGGATCTCTATGTAACTCCATGGATCTCTGTGTGACTCTATGGATCTCTGTGTAACTCCATGGATCTCTGTGTAACTCTATGGATCTCTGTGTGACTCCATGGATCTCTGTGTAACTCTATGGATCTCTGTGTAACTCTATGGATCTCTGTGTAACTCTATGGATCTCTGTGTAACTCTATGGATCTCTGTGTAACTCTACGGATTTCTGTGTAACTCTATGGGTCTCTGTAACTCCATGGATCTCTGTGTAACTCTATGGATCTCTGTATAACTCTATGGATCTCTGTGTAACTCTATGGATCTCTATGCAACTCTATTGATCTCTATGCAACTCTATGGATCTCCGTGTAACTCTATGGATCTCTGTGTAACTCTATGCAACTCTATGGATCTCTATGTAACTCCATGGATCTCTGTGTAACTCCATGGATCTCTGTGTAACTCTATGGATCTCTGTGTGACTCCATGGATCTCTGTGTAACTCTATGGATCTCTGTGTAACTCTATGGATCTCTGTGTAACTCTATGGATCTCTGTGTAACTCTATGGATCTCTGTGTAACTCTACGGATTTCTGTGTAACTCTATGGGTCTCTGTAACTCCATGGATCTCTGTGTAACTCTATGGATCTCTGTATAACTCTATGGATCTCTGTGTAACTCTATGGATCTCTATGCAACTCTATTGATCTCTATGCAACTCTATGGATCTCCGTGTAACTCTATGGATCTCTGTGTAACTCTATGGATCTCTGTGTAACTCTACGGATCTCTGTGTAGCTCTTTGGATCTCTGTGTAACTCTATGGATCTCTGTGTAACTCTACGGGTCTCTGTGTAATTCTATGGATCTCTGTGTAACTCTATGGATCTCTGTGTAACTCCATGGCTCTCTGTGTAACTCTATGGATCTCTGTGTAAATCTATGGATCTCTGTGCAACTCTATGGATCTCTGTGCAACTCTATGGATCTCTGTGTAAATCTATGGATCTCTGTGCAACTATGGATCTCTGTGTAACTCTACGGATCTCTGTGTAACTCTATGGATCTCTGAGTGACTCTATGGATCTCTGAGTGACTATGGATCTCTGTGTAACTCTATGGATCTCTGTGTAACTCTATGGATCTCTGTGTAACTCTATGGGTCTCTGTGTAACTCTATGGATCTCGGTGTAACTCTATGGGTCTCTGTGTAACTCTATGGGTCTCTGTGTAACTCTATGGGTCTCTGTGTAACTCTATGGATCTCTGTGTAACTCTATGGGTCTCTGTGTAACTCTATGGGTCTCTGTGTAACTCTATGGATCTCTGTGTGACTCTATGGATCTGTGTAACTCTATGGATCTCTCTAACTCTATGAATCTCTGTGTGACTCTATGGATCTCTGTGTAACTCTACGGATCTCTGTGTAACTCTATGGATCTCTCTAACTCTATGGTTCTCTGTGTAACTCTACGGATCTCTGTGTAACTCTATGGATCTCTATAACTCTATGAATCTCTGTGTGACTCCATGGATCTCTGTAACTCTACGGATCTCTGTGTAACTCTATGGATCTCTGTGCAACTCTATGGATCTCTGTGCAACTCTATGGATCTCTGTGTAAATCTATGGATCTCTGTGCAACTATGGATCCCTGTGTAACTCTACGGATCTCTGTGTAGCTCTATGGATCTCTGTGTAACTCTATGGATCTCTGTGTAACTCTACGGGTCTCTGTGGAACTCTATGGATCTCTGTGTAACTCTATGGATCTCTGTGTAACTCCATGGCTCTATGTGTAACTCTATGGATCTCTGTGTAAATCTATGGATCTCTGTGCAACTCTATGGATCTCTGTGCAACTCTATGGATCTCTGTGCAACTCTATGGATCTCTGTGCAACTCTATGGATCTCTGTGCAACTCTATGGATATCTGTGTAAATCTATGGATCTCTGTGCAACTATGGATCTCTGTGTAACTCTACGGATCTCTGTGTAACTCTATGGATCTCTCTAACTCTATGGTTCTCTGTGTAACTCTACGGATCTCTGTGTAACTCTATGGATCTCTATAACTCTATGAATCTCTGTGTGACTCCATGGATCTCTGTGTAACTCTACGGATCTGTGTGTAACTCTACGGATCTCTGTGTAAATCTATGGATCTCTGTGCAACTCTATGGATCTCTGTGCAACTCTATGGATCTCTGTGCAACTCTATGGATCTCTGTGTAAATCTATGGATCTCTGTGCAACTATGGATCCCTGTGTAACTCTACGGATCTCTGTGTAACTCTATGGATCTCTGTGTAACTCTATGAATCTCTCTAACTCTATGGATCTCTGTGTAACTCTATGGATCTCTGTGTAACTCTACGGCTCTCTGTGTAGCTCTATGGATCTCTGTAACTCTATGGATCTCTGTAACTCTATGGATCTCTGTAACTCTATGGATCTCTGTGTAACTCTATGAATCTCTGTGTAACTCTATGGATCTCTGTGTAACTCTATGAAACTCTATGGATCTCTGAATAACTCTATGGATCTCTGTGGAACTCTATGCAACTCTATGGATCTCTGTGGAACTCTATGGGTCTCTGTGTAACTCTATGGGTCTCTGTGTAACTCTATGAATCTCTGTGTAACTCTATGGATCTCTGTGTAACTCTACGGCTCTCTGTGTAACTCTATGGATCTCTGTAACTCTATGGATCTCTGTGTAACTCTATGGATCTCTGTGTAACTCTATGGATCTCTGTGTAACTCTATGAATCTCTGTGTAACTCTATGAATCTCTATGGATCTCTGAATAACTCTATGGATCTCTGTGGAACTCTATGGATCTCTGTGTAACTCTATGAATCTCTGTGTAACTCTATGGATCTCTGTGTAACTCTATGAAACTCTATGGATCTCTGAATAACTCTATGGATCTCTGTGGAACTCTATGCAACTCTATGGATCTCTGTGTAACTCTATGGGTCTCTGTGTAACTCTATGGGTCTCTGTGTAACTCTATGAATCTCTGTGTAACTCTATGGATCTGTCCAACTCTATGGATCTCTGTGCAACTCTATGGATCTCTGTGCAACTCTATGGATCTCTGTGTAACTCTATGGATCTCTGTGTAACTCTATGGATCTCTGTGTAACTCTGTGGATCTGTGTAACTCTATAGATCTGTGTAACTCTATGGCTCTCTGTGTAACTCTATGGATCTCTGTGTAACTCTATGGGTCTCTGTGTAACTATATGGATCTCTGTGTAACTCTATGGATCTCTGTGTGACTCTATGGGTCTCTGTGGAACTCTATGCATCTCTGTGTGACTCTATGGATCTCTCTGTGACTCTATGGGTCTCTGCGTATCTCTATGGATCTCTGTGGAACTCTACATCTCTCTGTGTAACTCTACGGCTCTCTGTGCAACTCTACGAATCTCTACGCAAGTTCTGCATGCAATCACGATCCTCCTCATCATCAGCACCATCCTACATCACACACACGCACACATGTAAATATAAAAGCCAATGTACTCACAGCCCGCCATGAGATACTCCCGGTAGAGTGGGATCCGGAAGTTGCCGGCGAGGGTCGCCACGTAGGGGTGTATCCCGGGGAACAGTTGCGCGAAACCCGTTGCCTCCGTGCAGAAGTTGATGAACGCCCCGATGCACATAACCCCGTGGGGGTGGTAACCAATCACGAAGTTGCGTGACGGACTCAGGTCGCACGTCTTGACCAGCTGGCAAGGGTCACGGGCACAGGGCGAGGTCACAGGTCAAGGGTGAGGTCACAGGGCGAGGTCACAGGTCGAGGGCGAGGTCACAGGTCAAAGGCGAGGTCACAGGTCAAGGCCGTGCCTTGCATCTCTTTGAGTCTCTGTGGGTATCTGTATCTCACGGAGTCTCTGTGGGTCTCTGTGGGTCTCTATGGGTCTCTCTGTATCTCACGGAGTCTCTATGGGTCTCTGTATCTCTCGGAGTCTCGGTTGGTCTCTATGGGTCTCTATGGGTCTCTGTATCTATTTGAGTCTATGGGTCTCTGTATCTATTTGAGTCTATGGGTCTCTGTATCTATTTGAGTCTATGGGTCTCTGTATCTATTTGAGTCTCTATGGGTCTCTGTATCTATTTGAGTCTATGGGTCTCTGTATCTATTTGAGTCTCTATGGGTCTCTGTATCTCACGGAGTCTCTGTGGGTCTCTATGGGTCTCTATGGGTCTCTGTATCTCACGGAGTCTCTGTGGGTCTCTGTGGGTCTCTATGGGTCTCTGTATCTCACGGAGTCTCTGTGGGTCTCTGTGGGTCTCTATGGGTCTCTCTGCATCTCACGGAGTCTCTATGGGTCTCTGTATCTTTCGGAGTCTCGGTGGGTCTCTATGGGTCTTTATGGGTCTCTCTGCATCTCACGGAGTCTCTATGGGTCTCTGTGGGTCTCTGTTGGGTCTCTGTGGATCTCTATGGGTCTCTGTATCTGTCGGAGTCTCGGTGTCTATTTCAGTCTCTGTAGTCTGTTCCTGTATCGAACCCAGGTCGCACACATTAACACACACACACGTATTGACATACATACACACCCACACATTAACATACATACACACAGACACACGCATGTATACACAGACACACGCATTAACATACACGTACACATTAACATACCAATACAACCGCCATTCACCACTAAGTGATGGTGACGTCACCACGGCGCCTGTGCCAAGCTAGGTGCACGTTGGGGCCACGTGAAGTGTCGAAGGCAGGAGGAGGTCACGGTACAGACCTAGCAGGTGTCATGGGGTGACTGCTGTGCCAGGCTAGGTGCACGAGGAGGTCACGGAACAGACCCAGCAGGTGCCATGGGGTGACTGACTGAAGTGAATGGCAGATGCACCACGCTAATTTGTTTTCATTTTAACCGCCCGGGGCTCTGCTCGTTGTTGTGAGCGTCGCTCCTGTGCCCTCTGTTGTTGTTGGAGGGCGACTGCCTCCAACACACACAAAGACAAATTGACACACACACACACACTGACACACACACTGACATACATACACACACACACACTGACATACATGCACACACACATTGACATACATGCACACAGATACACAGACACACACACAGACACTGACACATTGACACACACACACACACTGACACATTGACACACACACACACTGACACACTCACACACAGACACACACAGACACACAGACACACACTGACATACCGACACACACACAGACACACTGACACACTAACACACAGAGACATAATCAACGCGCTCCAGGGTTCGTGACCATGTGGGTGTGAGACACGTGGCAGGGGTAGCGTAGTGGCAGGGTGGGTGGAGGGGTAGGGATGGGTGGCGCAATGCGTCTGCGACCCCCTGCATGTCTGTAAGTGATCACAGACTGCTCCCAGCCAAATAAATCTGCGCCTAATCAGCGTGAGCAACATTGACCCTTAACCCCACCCGCCCCCCCTAACCCCCCTAACCCCCCTAACCCCCCTTACCCCCCCCCCCCAGAACCCTGCACACCCTACAAAGACAAAGACACCCCTCCACCCCTGTATAGCCTTAACAGACTGTTGGGGCAAGTGCTGTTAGCGAGCACCTATGAAGGCCGGTGCAGCGCACGAGGGGGTGGGTGGCCAGCACCACGCCCCGTGGCCGCCTTTGTCTCCCCCGTGGCGATGCTTACACACCGCACCAGGTACTCATTTGAGGCCGAGTGGACCTAGGGGACGCCCAGGATCGGGTTCGCTGGGCGTTGACCCGCGAGCGGGAATCGAACCCCGGATCGCCAGGGTTCGTAGCGCGGCGTAGCGCTAACCGCTGCGCCACCGCTCCCCCGCCGTGCACCCTGGACCTCAAAACTCCCCCCGCCACCTCGCCTCCACCCGTGCCGCCTCCTGCCTGTCTGTGCGTCTCGATGTTCAGATATGTGTCTGTCTGTGTGTAACCAGACACTCACATTGTGTGTGTGTGTGTCTAAGTTGATGGGGGAGCGGTAGCGTAGTGGATTAACCGACCGCGCTTACGAACCTGGAACGGCCGAGTTCGACTCCGGCTCACGGCCATTAACAGTGGCGAATATTCGAACCGGTCATGGGCCTCCCCTAGGTGGACTCAACCACAAATGAGTGCCTGGTGCGGTGCGTAGTAAACACTGGGGAGACAAAGGCGGCCGGGGGATGGTACTGGCCAACCCCAACCCCTCGTGTGCCGTGCCGGCCTTCATAGGTGCTACTCGCTAACAGCACTTGCCCCTACAGTCTGTTTAGGCTATACGGGGGGTCTTTGCATCTATACACACACACTCACACGTGTACCTCTATACGTGTGCCTCTGCGTGTGGGGAGCGGTGGTGCAACGGTTAGCGCTCTGCGACACGAACCCGGCGGACCCAAGTTCGAATCCCGCGGTCAGCATCAGTGGCGGATATCTGAACCGGTCCTGGGCCTCCTCTAGGTCGACTCAACCTCAAATGAGTGCCTAGTGCGGTGTGTCAAAACATCGCTAACGTCACTTGCCCCAACAGTCTCCGTGTGTTGCGTGTCTCTATGCTTTCCATGATTGTACTGGAGGAATGCCCTTCTGGTACAGATACAATGTGCGTCAAGGGGTGGCTCCCTATTGGTCAACCGATGATCCATTTAACACGTAGGATTTCGCGACCAATATGATTCATAATCAACGTTTTTGGGTTTAGATGGCGTTATTTATAAATGTGTCGTAACCCTCCACCACCCGATGCTGTTACCAGCGAAACGTCGGACTAATCAAAAGTTGTAAATGTTGTGGTTTCACGCTTCAACACACCGGTGTGGGCTAAAGCAGTGAACTATTTTGTCTTTTGTCAACGTGACACGTTTTTACTGTTTGGCAGTGTCGGGTGGTGGAGGGTTACGACACATTTATAAATAACGCGATCTAAACCCAAAAACGTTAATTATCAACAACCGTGCCATGTTACGCCGATGATCCGCTGATTGCTGCTCACTCCGAGAAGGAGTTGGAGACGCTGCTGCTGAGCCCGGAGCGTGCCACTCAAGAGGTTTTACCATCAGCCCGTGCCTGGGCACTTGATGTCATCAATCGCTCTCCTCCTACTCACGACTTGATGGACGGGGGGCAGTTGTGGAAAGCGTGAATAAGTGTCCGTGCCAGGGCGGTGTGCTCACGATCAGCACCGGTTTTGCAACAGAGATGTCACTCCGAATCACTCGAAGCTACCTGGTCTGTCGCTCCACACGAGGCTCAGTGTCTCCACGCTAAACGCGGAGATCTTTAAAAGAATCATCCGCGCGCCGATTTGAAACATTCCGGCTGGCCTGGCCAGCGATCCATCCTGGGTTTAACCAGCAGTCTGGATTGTGTGAGGAGCTCACAGATCCTTGGAAGATCTGGACACATTCCCATCGGTAAGCTTTCTCCCGCAGGCCAAGCTGCGTTGGCTGGGTCACGAAGCCCCTCCCCCATGCCCAGCCACCGCGTGCCCAAAGCAGCTTCTGTTTTACCGGCTAGAGGGGAGCTAAACGCAGCACCGGCTGGGGTAGAGATGGAGCTGATGGGGCACGGGCGTATGGAGGAGCTGAGTGAGGAGCTCACAAATCCTTGAAAGATCTGGGCAAAGTCCCATTGGTGAGCGCCTCCGGCAGGCAAGGCTGCGTTGGCTGGGTCATGTCGCACGCATGCCCAGCCACTGCATGCCTCGGCCGGATCGAGGGGGCTAAACGGGCGCGGCACGGGCTAGAGAAGAGATGGAGTGATGTGGTACAGGAGGACGTGGAGCTGAGTGGACTTGCCGATGACTGGTACCAGCGGTGTCAAGATCGGCCTCTGTGGAGGAGGCTCGTGAAGGACGCTACTGGGCAGTTGGAGGCAGTCGCCCTCCAATAACAACGGAGGGCGGAGGAGCGACGCTCACAGCAACGAGCGCAGCGCCAAGCGCACTAAAAATCGCATCGAGTTGGCACAGGAGCGGAGCAATGGGTGGCGCATCTGCCAGTCGTCAATTATCCCATGGCACCATCTGGGCCTGTGCCGTGACCTCCTGCCAGCAGCAAGCCTCCACGTAGCCTTAAAGTGCACCTAGCCTGGCACAAGCGAGGGGCGTTGCCGCTGTGCCTCCATTGCGGGGAGCGGTGGTGCAGCGGTTAGCGACGCCGAGCTACGAACCCGGGCGCCCCGAGTTCGATTCCCGCTCTTGGCCATCAACGCCAAGTGACGATTATTTGAATCGGTCCTGGGCCTCCCCTAGGTCGACTCAGACTCAATTGAGTACCCGGTTCAGGGTGAAAACACCGCCGTGGTGAGGCCCACCTACCCCCTCGTGTGTCGTGGCCGCCTACCGTGAATGCTCTTGCCCCAACAGTCTGTTAAAGGCTATACGGGGGATCTTTGTCTTTGTGTGTGTGTCTCTATATTATCTATATATATACACACACACACGCGTGTCTCACCACGTGTTCCCGTGCCTCTCTGGAACCCGAAACCTCGCAATGGGTTTGGCTCTGGACCCAAATCATTCACTTCTCGTCCTCTCTCTCTTCCCTTACAGCTCGTGACGCAAACACATCGGAGGCGTGTGGCCCCTTCACAGACTGTCAGGGGTGGGGGGGGCAAGGGCTGTTAGCACCACCACCACCCCCGGCCGCCTTTGTCTCCCCAGTGGCGATGTTCGCGCATCGCACGGTCACACATCGCACCTCCGACACGGTTGGTGGCGATCGAAATCGAG